AGACCAAGAGGCCTCGAGGTTCAGGTAGCTTCAGTGGTGCTCCGTCTAGGGGCCAGTTCCAGCGTGGCAGAGGTCGTTCCTTCAGGCCTCCTCAGTCAAGTCGCCCAGAGTACAGCGGGGCTTCTTCAGGCCGTGGTCATCAGGGATTTCAGCAGGGCCAGTCTTCACTTAGCGCCCTTCCAGCTCAGAGCTCTACTCCTGCCTCTTCAGCCCAGGGTTCATCTGCAGTGAGGGGTTCCCTTCAGTCCCCTTCTCCAGCACCGGGTAGTTGCTACGAGTGCGGTGAGTTTGGTCACATGAGGAGACAGTGTCCTCGGCTTCGTGGTGGTCGGTCTCAGTAGAGGGATCAGCCCTCCTCTTCTACTCCATCTACTTCAGCACCCTCCCAGTCAGGTAGGGGTGGGGGCCAGACAGCTAGGGGCCGCCCTAGGGGTGGAGATCGATCTGGTGGTGGTCAGGCTCGGTTCTATGCTCTTCCAGACAGGAGGGACGCCATTGCATCGGATGCTGTTATCACAGGTATTATCTCAGTCTGCCACAGGGATGCTTCTGTTTTATTTGATCCCGGATCTACATACTCTTATGTGTCTTCATATTTTGCCCATCATCTGGGTACTGCTCGTGGTTGCCTTGCCCGTGCACGTATCTACCCCGGTGGGTGATACTATTATTGTGGATCACGTATATCGATCTTGTCTGGTGACTATTGGGGGTCTGGAGACCCGAGTTGACTTGTTGTTGTTGGGCATGGTAGATTTTGATGTGATTCTGGGTATGGATTGGATATCTCCGTACCATGCTATTCTGGACTGTCATGCCAAGATAGTTACGTTGGCTATTCCGGGTGTTCCGAGGATTGAGTGGCGCAGTATGACCGACTATGTTCCTAGCAGGGTGATTTCCTTCCTAAAGGCCCAGCGGATGGTTGGGAAAGGGTGTCTATCGTACTTGGCTTTTGTGAGAGATGTTGGAGCTGAGACTCCTAGTCTTGATTCTATGCCCGTTGTGAGGGATTTTCCAGATGTGTTTCCAGCAGACCTGCCGGGTATGCTGCCGGACAGGGACATTGACTTTGGTATTGATCTGGTGCCGGGCACTCAGCCCATCTCCATTCCTCCGTATCGTATGGCACCAGCAGAGTTAAAGGAACTAAAGGATCAGCTTCAGGAACTCCTAGATAAGGGGTTTATACGTCCTAGTGTGTCACCGTGGGGTGCACCAGTCCTATTTGTGAAGAAGAAGGATGGCACAATGAGGATGTGCATTGACTACAGGCAGTTGAACAAGGTGACAGTGAAGAATAAGTATCCACTACCGCGCATTGATGATTTGTTTGACCAGCTCCAGGGAGCAAGGGTATTCTCTAAGATTGACCTCCATTCAGGCTACCATCAGCTGAAGATCAGGGATTCTGATATTATGAAGACGGCTTTCAGGACGAGATATGGGCATTATGAGTTTCTAGTTATGTCTTTTGGGCTGACTAATGCCCCAGCCGCATTCATGCATCTAATGAACATCGTATTTCGGCCGTATCTGGATTCATTTGTGATCGTTTTTATTGATGATATCCTGGTGTACTCGCGTAGCTAGGGCATGCTCAGCATTTGAGAGTGGTATTACAGAGATTGAGGGAGGAGAAGCTTTATGCAAAGTTCTCCAAGTGTGAGTTCTGGCTGGGTCTGTGGCTTTCCTGGGACACGTAGTGTCCAGTGATGGTATTCAGGTTGATCCAAAGAAGATAGAGGCGGTGTAGAGTTGGCCTAGACCGTCCTCATCCACGGAGATTCTGAGTTTCCTCGGTTTGGCAGGTTATTATCGCCGGTTCGTCCAGGGTTTTTCATCTATTGCTTCGCCCTTGACCAAGTTGACACAGAATGGTGCACCATTTGTATGGTCGGACGAGTGCGAGGAGAGCTTTCAGAAGCTCAAGACAGCTTTGACCACATATTTGGCTATAAAATATCAAAAGATAAATATGGAATACTCCCTTTGTTCCAGTTTATGTGAACCTATTTCCTTTTTGGTCCGTTCCAAAAAGAATGAACACTTTTTAAATTTGGTAACAATTTAGCTTAAACTTACAACTCTACCCTTAATGAGAAGCTTTTATAACCACATAAATACTCTGGGTTTCATTTGGTCTTGTTTAGGACCACAAATTCCAAAAGTCTTCATTTTTCCTTAAACTCCGTGACCAGTCAAACATTTTCACATAAATTGGAACGGAGGGAGTATAACTTTTTAAAAGAATATTTATTTAAAATAAATAAGGTAGTTGTAACTATGATTGTACGTGAAGCGCATATATAAAAAAAAAAAAAGAGCCCGTGAAGTCTGATTAAAGCGGGGCCTATTGTTTCCAGATAATTGATGGTGCACACGGTAGATTGAGCGCGTGTAACATAAATTTAGGGAAAATCTCACTTTATACCCATTAAATTCAAACTATTTACCCTTAAATACTCATACCTAAACTATTTACTTTTCCTACCTATGCAATCAATACTATTTACCACTCACATACTTTTAAATTTGATATTATAAAGGAAAATGTGGGTTCTTGACAGTAGACGTAAAAACCCAATCTTGGTCATTCATTCACTCTTTTCACCAATCTAAAATAAGTTTTGATATTTAGACGTCTGTAAATTATCTTAATAAATGTAGAAAAATGTCAATTCTTTTGGGATAAAACTAAAAAGGAATAGAATTAAATTAGGATGAAGGGAGTAGAATTAAAGAATGTTCTAGCCTAAACACCCCCCCCCCCCCCCCCCAAAAAAAAAAAAATTTCAACTAGCCAGTAAGGATTTTCAACGGGTATTTTGCCTATTTTGAACTAACTTCTTTTTCAAATGATTAGTTAAAAGATTCAAGTCACATTATCAAATCGATCCAGCACTGTAAGAATCGAATGGGGGTTTGAACACGCAATGGGTATTACTACTCTTTTGCAGCATTAACACGCAAAGGGCATTACTACTCCATTGGTCTCCAATTAAATGTAGCTAATGTTGTTCTTTGATATGTAGATTGTACCTTTGATGCTGGTTTTTGGAGATTTATTGTACAAAAATTTAAATCCACCATTGACGGACCTTGAAGCTTGAAACTCATAACTTGGTTTGTTTGAGTTTTTAATTGTTTTGATTCGATCCTGTATGGGTTAGTTTGGAAAGTTGATTGGAGGTTGTAGCAAAAGTTTTAGTCAATTTGGTGGAGATTTTGTATTAAATTTTAGAAATTTGGGTTGAAATATAGTTGAACCAGAGAAGAAGACGAATTTGTATTGTATACCCAAATAGTATACAAATATACCATTTTAGTATACAATTCATTCAAACTATATACCCTATTAGTATAGCTATATACTATATTGGTATCATATGCTAGTTGAATTATTTTTTGGTTGTATTAGCTGCATTTAATTGGTACAATATTTGATTTTCTTTTAATAATAGTAATATAGTATAATATCTTGAAATACCTTATTATATTAATATGTGATACACTATTTTTTTATTTTTCTCTTTATGCATGTGTGTTATGTAACACTAGTATAGTCATATAGTTGCTGAAAATTAACTAGTAAACTGTATACCATGTTGGTATAGTTATATGCCATATTGGTATCATATGTTAGTTTGAACATTATTTTGGTTGTTTGAGCTGCATTTTAAGTGATTCTATTATGAAATTATTTATATCAACATGAGTTGCAATAATGCTGGAATTTTTGTATGCCGATGGACATAAATTATGTGTATTAATAGTTTTTATAGTTATAGGCAATTGCTGGAGCGACCACATACAACTATATACCCTCTTAGTATACGAAATGAGCAAGTTGTTTTGCGGATATTTAGCTTGCAATACGAGCATGTAATTTTCTCATACTTTTATTGCGTCATTTAATGTTTTGGTAGAGTAGTATAGTCGCAGATAGTTGTAGCAATATTCTAATGAAATCATATGCTCTGTTGGTATACATATATACCATATTGGTATCACATGGTACTAGAAGTCTTTTTCGCTACTTATACTTTTGTTGTATTTTTTAAAATTTTATTATCATTTTTATTCTAACTAGTATATATGGAGATTCGGTTGCCGTAGATTATGTTTTCTTGCTCTATAACTGGTTGTATTACTGTTAATGGTAGAGTGTGTATGGATATTTATAGGGAAGGAGATCAAGGTTTGCATGGCAATCACGTGTTGATTCTTAGAATTTGATTATGTAATTTATGGTGCTCAACAACAGTCAATATGATATTCAGTGTATTAGATCAAGTGACAACTGATATTATTTCAGTTTAATAATTGAATTTAAAAAATGAGAAAGAAAAACAAAACAAAAGGTATATTGTACTAGTTATATTAAAAAAAGATGAACAAATATTTACTATACCAATTATTTTTCTTATTGTATAAAAAAAGAATAATAAAATGAAAACGGTAAATGAAATTAGATTGTGAAGAGAAAAAGAATATAAAAAAAAGAAGTTAAATAAAATTAGAAAAGGAAAAAAGAAAAAAATAAGAAGAAAACGAGAGAAAAAAAAAGCAGAAAAGAAAAAAAAGAAAAAAAAGAAGAAAAGAAGCATAGAAATAAAAAAGAATTGAAGAATAAAGAAAAAATTCCCTACAAAAACTACTATGGGTAGGAAATATAATTAGTTTATGGATAAAAAAATAAATGAGTAGACAAGGATAAATAGTTTTGTTTTTGTGGGTATCTGTGTCAAAACCCCAAAAATTTAGGTGGAGGGCTCATTTTCTCAGCAAGCTTGTCCACGTGTAAACACAAAAGCAACGAAAAAGACCTAATTGCCATTGCGTAAGCGCATGAGTTTTTCCGTAAAGTTACTTTGACGAGAAGCTCCCCTCCTTCCCCATTATTATTAATAGCAGTAAAAAATAAAGTATTAGTTCTGGTAATGTGTTCCATCAAACTTCTAATACTTAAAAACTTTGTTGACACACCTTTTCCCACATACCAAACCGCCCAACCTATATGAAACCGTGGCGTTGTTCCGCCGTCTTACAAAAATTAGGGGCTCAAAGTACATCGTTGCAACCATAGGGGTCCATGTATAAATTCGGTTTCTCGCACGTGATAAGATCTAGCAATTTTCTATGTTCCGTCACTTTGATATCCTTAATTAACTTAACCCCGTGTCCCACGGAAGTGGAACTCCTCAATTTCCACTTAAAGAGAAGTCTCATCGCCCATTCCGAATAGGAGGAGAATTGAACTGAAATGGCTGCGGCGTTTTCTTCACTTGTTGGACAGCCACGGGCCATACTTTCAGCTTCTCCGACAGTCAGTTTTAGTCAAATCCGGAAACCGGCGAATTTCCCCTTGCAAAACTCAAGGTTTCTTTTGGTGAATTCAAGCTCTGTCCCTCGAACTTGTACCATGGCTATGGTTGGAGACGATAAAGTTGATCCTGCTAGAGATGACCACTCAATTAATTGGCCTTCCTATGATCATCCAAAGGTAACCAAATATTTACTTAATGGATAACTCTATTTTTGCAGCTTTACATGTTAGATTTTGAATTAATCGCATTGCACAACGTGGTATAATTTTTGAAGTCATAATAACTTCAAAAATTGAGTCGAGAAAAGTAATATGTCACTTCGTGTTGATAGGTTTTACAGCTTGAGGGGATTACTATATGGTATTCTCTTCCTTTTTCATAGGAAGGGGGACAAAGAGGAATTTTGAACTACGCCATGACAGTTAACTTTTGTAGACATGTTTCTGTCTTTAGGTGAAGGATCTTCACTATTTTTATCTGTCAATTTTTTGTGCTCTATTCGCAGGTTGTTGATGCTACTCCAGGGTTTCAGGAGCGAGATTTCACGGCCACCCCGTACATTCCCGTATATGTTATGCTACCTGTGAGTTGAATCAGATTTTCTTTCTTGTGGGACCTTATTCGTTTCCTCTCGAAGTTTAGTCATCGATATAGCATCATATGATTCACTCTGTTTGGTGGCTTTTTGAATGCTGGAGCCAAGCATATTGTTAATCATTTTTAGTGTGTGCCTAAATTGTTACTTGCCTAGTTGTCTCATCAAAGCTTGTCTTACCACTTAACCCGTCAAATTATTTGGAAACTGTAAACCATTTTGACTTTCATATGACAGATGGGCATCATCAATATGGAATGTGAAATTGTGGACGCTAATAATCTGGTTAACCAACTAAAGATCTTGAAGTCAGCTAAGGTGGATGGGGTTGTCGTGGAGTGCTGGTGGGGTATAGTGGAGGCACAAACCCCACAAAGATATAATTGGAGTGGTTACAAGAGGCTTTTTGAAATTGTTCGAGATCTTAACTTAAAACTGCGGGTTAGTTCTCGCCTCTCGGTTGTATGGAATTGCATCTTTAATCTGATCTGGTGTCTTCTTTGACTTCTTCCCTTCTAAAGTATTCTATTGAAGGAATTGAACTTTCTAAGTCATCTTACTTTTGAAGAAAACATCCAGGTGGTAATGTCATTCCATGAATGCGGAGGAAATGTCGGTGATGATGTTCATATTCCTCTTCCACAATGGGTTACAGAAATTGGTTATAGAAATCCTGACATATTTTTTACCGACAAAGATCTAAGAAGAACCCATGAATGTCTCACCTGGGGAGTTGACAATGAGCGTGTTTTAGGAGGACGAATTGCTCTTGAGGTAATCTTTTTTTTCTCTTCTTTTGTTTGTGCATCATGTAGTTCAGTAGGCCGACATACTGTTTTCTACTTCTTTTTTTCTTGATTCTGTTTTATATCAAAGTATGGGAGAATAAGTAGCTTAAGGTAAATACCTTTGTACCATTACTGTTAAATTACTCAAAACAATAGTGCTACTTATGTCAAAAACTTGCTAATCTTTTGTTTTTTGGTTATTCAAATAATGGTACACCATTCACGCAAAATCGGTAATACTATGACTTCTGGAAGAATTTTCCCATCCCAAAACATATAATGTTTTAAGGTGTATTATTTTAATGACTAATTTGCTCGTACAGGTTTACTTTGATTTCATGAGAAGCTTCCGCGTGAAGTTCGATGAGTTCTTTGAAAATGGAGTCATCTCTGAGATTGAAATTGGACTTGGTCCATGTGGAGAATTGCGATACCCTTCTCATCCTGTAAAACTTGGTTGGAAATATCCTGGTATTGGTGAATTTCAGGTGAATTTAACCTCTCAAATGGTTATTGATAATTTTCTATCGTAAATGATACTTCACTCGATCAACATTTTGAATACTTGTAGTCACAGTCCAATATTAAATGTGTTATGACTTTTTTTTATAATGGTGATGTCCGGCTAACTTGCACCATGTAACTTTATCCACCAAGGCTTAGGTAGGCGGAAAGTAATCACCTAATATTTTTTGTCTCCACTAGAATTTGAACCCGAGATCTAATGGTTGTTCCAACGTCAATTCCAATAGTTGTTTCTAGTTTGATAGCCCTCTGTCTTGCAATGGAAAGCGCAGAAAGACAACCAATAAAGAAAGAAAAACAAGGAGAAAAATAATAGTCACGAGTGACAGTTTAGAGACTCTCAAGTATCATAATAAGGTCAAAGACTTGTTCAATTTATCATGTCTTTGGATAGCTTTTCTTCTTTTCGATTTCGATAAGAAAGAATAAACACACCATTGTTTCCAATATCTGCTCATTTAGAAATATGGGAGAAAATAGAAATAGAAACATCTCACAAGAAATAGAAACACCTCACTAGTAATTTGACTACTATCCATATAGACTTGCCAAAGTACTTGAGCGCTTCCTTGGCTTCTTGCTCCCCTTGAAAGCCTGTAATGTCAAACAACCTGCTTTTCATATCCCTGATTATAATGATAATTCAGCAACAACATACCCAGTGTAACCCAACAAGTGGGGTCTGGATAACGAAAATTTAGAAGGATAATAAATAATCAAAAAATGAAACACACAGGCTTATGTATCTTCTGAAGCATTTGTTAAAAATGCACCATATATCCGAAGCAATAACGATTTAAGAATCTTAGCCAAGGTTTCTCCCGTTGTGCAAACTTTCTTGCCCTTAATATAATGCTCACTTTGGGTCTTCCCACATTTATAATAATAGTAATAGATTAGCTATCGACCCTTGATATCTAATGTGACATATTTATTAATCATGTGTGCTTACATCCTTTGCAGTGCTATGATAAGTACTTGTTAAATAGCTTGAAAAAGACAGCGGAGGCATCCGGAGGCTCATCCTGTGGTAAAGTACCTTGGAATGCAGGTTCTTACAATTCGAAACCACAAAACACCGAGTTTTTTCGTGATGGTGGAGAATATAATAGCATTTATGGTAGATTTTTCTTGAAATGGTACACTCAAGTTTTAATTGATCATGGTGATCAAGTACTTGGCTTGGCAAATTTGTGTTTTAAAGGCACTCCTATAGCAGCAAAGGTGGTAAAATTGTAAAACATATTCCTTTAAATGCTAGACATATTCATGGCATCATAAATTGCTTTTTTAGATTGATTTCGGTTCTTGATGCACTCTGATTGATGAGCAGCTACCAGGAATCTATTGGTGGCGCAACGATAAGAATGGTGCAGCTGAATTAACAGCTGGCTTTTACAGCGTTAAGTGTCGTGATGGCTATTCTCCAATTGCGTTAATGTTAAAGAAGCATGGGGCAGCTCTGAATTTCACATGTCTTGAATTGCACACAGTTTATCGGGATATTGACTTTCCAGAAGCATTAGCTGACCCGGAAGGACTAGTTTGGCAGGTAAACATGTGTATCTAACATGCCAGAGGATATGTTGTGATATTTAATTTTTTCAAGGAATCCTGGTGTGAATGTGCAAGTAATAGATTGTCGTATGCAACACGTACTTGAAAAGTAAAGTGTTAAATACGTTGATGTTTAACCATGAAAAATTGAAAGGTAACATTTGTTTGTCTAAAGGCTCGAGGTTGCAAATATGTATTATTGTCTGATGTAAATAAAATATGCATAGCATAATGATTTTGGCCTATAGGAGAGAATCATGTTGTCAAGCAACTAGGTTTTGAGCCATTTAAACATTTCAAAGAATAAACTTCTCTTACATTTTTCGTCCTCGCTCATGTAAATGTTGTTTTGTCAATATTGTTTATATTTTTTAGCAAGTGGGTGTTTTTCCTTTTTTTTTTTCTCTGGGATGGCGGTGGGGATTGTTTTTGTTGTACAAATTAATCACAAATACTCCCTCCATTTCAATTTATGTGAATCTATTTCCTTTTTGGTCCGTGCCAAAAAGAATGACCCCTTTCCTTATTTGGAAACAATTTACCTTTATGCAATGATTTCTAGCCACACAAAATATATGTGCCTCATTTTACATTACAAGTTCAAGAGTCTTCTCTCTTTTCTTAAACTCCGTATCCAATCAAATGAGTTCACATAAATTGAAACAGAGGGAGTATCTAAGAAACTTGATGTCCATCTACATCAAAGAGATAATTGATCGTGCAATGTAATATCTATGTATTGTCTCTGCATCACCGGATATACTTGGTCTTTGTTTAACGGATTTCCCAAAATTGCAGGTGCTAAATGTTGCATGGGAAGCCTACATACCGGTTGCTGGTGAGAATACAGGTCCATGCTACCATAGAGAAGGCTACAACAAGATCTTGGAAAATGCGAAGCCTAGGAATGATCCATTTGGTAGACACTACATATCTGGGTTTACCTACCTCAGGCTGAGCCCAACTCTACTGGAGAAACACAATTTCATGGAGTTTGAACGATTTGTGCAGAAGATGCATGGTAAAGTCCTTCTCCCTATCAATTAAAAGCATTGATTTACCGAAATTCTAATATGCAACTATGCAATTACCCATTAAATGTACTTCTCTATGAAGTAGCGAGTTATCTATGATTGACAGTGGTCTCATTCTTGTTTGTAGGTGTACAATGTAACTATCTGAGTTGGAGTCATTTCTGGAATCTGGAATAAATTCCTGTGGCAGCCCCAGGAATTTAAGGGTCATTCCATATTTCGAAGTTATGACAACGTCTGAGTTCTTTATTGTTAGAGATTGATAATGTCCTGACTGTCATATTTGTTCAAAATGCGACCTCAAAATCACTTCCTTTTTAGGATTTGTTTTTTTTCCTTTGAAAGATAGGTATCTTATATTGCACCAGTGATTTAACAAATTCATTTTGCAGTGTCATTTTAATGTCTATTTAGTTTATTTAACAAAATAAAAATTTAATTAAACTATGTGAAATTTAAAAATTCAATAAATTTTAGATGTTTTGGATTATGTATATTTTTTTTTATTTGCACCGGGTATCCGAGTGTCTAAGAGCCCCAACTAATCTCGGGGGTGCACAGGTCCTTGGCAAGGAGTTTCCCGCAAATGCACCAAGGTTAATTCAGGTTTTACCCAGTCCGATGGCCCTCAGAAATTATTTTTTTGGATTATGTATATTTTGTTTTCAATTATGAGTATATTATATTACTTTTGTTAATTAATAAAAGAGGAGTACATGTTTTACGGTAGAATGATGAAGTATAAGATTATCTACACTCTTGTAAGTGAGCCTGTAGATCTAAAAGGATTCCAACCTTAGGCTTGATCGGATATCCTTTGTCCACGAAGACAAACAAAAAAGTAATACTCTCTCTATTTTAATTTATGTGAATCTATTTCCTTTGTATTTTTTGCCATAAAGAATGACCTCTTTCCTTATTTGAAAACAATTTACCTTTATGCAATGATTAATAGTCGCATAAAATTTATGCGCACTGGGGGAATCTTTTACATCATAAGCTCATTTCTTAAAAGAAGTTATTAATCTAATTCATTTAAGTTTAAAAAAACAGGGGGGATTTTTTCTAAAATTAGGGCTCTAATTACCCTATTTAATTGTGGAACTAGTATTTCTAAAATTAGGGCAATTCAAGAAGGAAAATTCGAGCAATTGCGACAGAAGTTCATAGGAAGTAGGCGGGAACATCTTTTTTACTTTTGTGATTGCAGCAAAAACTGATGGTCCAAACTAGGGCTGTTCATTCGGATCGGATATCCGAAATCCGAATCTATCTATTCAATTTTGAATTTCAGATTGGATCGGATTTCGGATTGTGTTTATTAAAATTTCGGATTTCGGATAGGATTCGGATTGGTATATTTTAGTCCGATCCAAAATTTGAAATTATTAGGGAATATATAAATACTACACTTTAATTTCGGATAGTCAGTATTTTCTTTACATCAACCTCCAAGTTATTACCTTTACAATTGCTAGATTTAGCTATATTGGCACCATAGTACTCTCATAATTGCATGAACATGAATTTTTCTTAATGTATTGCCTCTTTTACAAAGAAAATATACATATTAGTTTAACTTTGAGGCAGAATAATACGATCCGAAATCCGATTCGATCCAAACTTTAAAATCCGATCCAATCCGATATAATTCGGATCGCATTTTTTAGAATCCGAAATTCAAAATTCGAATCCGAAATATGCTAAATCCGATCCGATCCGATCCGATCCGCGCACTGCCCTAGTCCAAACGAATAGAATTGATATGAAAAGAAAGAAAAAAAAAGGAAAATTGGAATGGATATTGTAGGCAAAAACGATCAGAGCAGGGTAAGAATATGGAAATATGAAAATAAAAAAAATTGGAGCCTAAAATCAAGAAACCCCTAAACCTGTAAGTTGTCTTAAGTAATTAGGTGTAAGTATTTGTAATAATGGTAATTAGGCTCCCATAATCGCGTAGCTACGTACAACAACAACAACAACCCAGTGTATTCCCACAAATGGGGTCTGGGGAGGGTAATATGTACGCAGACCTTACCCCTACCCCGAGGGGCAGAGAGACTGTTTCCAGGAGACCCTCGGCTCAAGAAGGACACAAGTGACAGAAACAAGTGACGATATATTAGTACTAGCAATAGACTAATAATAAATAACATAAAATACACAACATAACATAAAATAACATAAATAATAAATAACAACAATATAAGGAATATAGGAAATACGAGAAAGAGGAAAGTATACTAATATCTAGAATATAAAGCCCTGCATCAGTAGCTGATCCGTAGCATCCTAAGCCTAACTACTAACTGTCTAGTCTCACTCTAGCGCGCCGTAAAAAATTGCGTAGCTACGTAAAATTCTGAATATTACTAACAAAACTTATAGGATGAGGATTGCTTACCATCTTTTGCAATTTTTTCATGGATTATTTACTCGGAACTTTCAAAATTTTGTTCCTTAACTTTAGTTTTGTATGCGTATAAGTAATGACTAAGCTCGCTAACCAATTTACACTTGCATTCTTGAATTGCTAATTCAAATGGTGAATAATCATTCTAAATTAATATTTGCGCGGTGACTGTTTAAAACAATAAAAGTGTATTTAAGCACAACCGGAGTATTCAATTTTTAGAGTTCATGAGATTTTAAAATGCACTGGAATTAACTCCAAGTGTAGTCACTAGTATCTCTTCACGCGATGCATGCATATTCGTATTACTTTCTTAATGAATATATATCAAAAAATAAATTAGAAATAAATATATATCTCATGAGATTACAACTGTGGGATATATCGTGGTATTATCTATCCACCTTCTATATGAAATAGCTAACACAATCATTTTAGTATAAAAATTAAACTAAGACCCTTCGTGAACAAAGTTAAGAAGCGTACTATATATCCAACGTTATATGCATTCTTTAATTAGCTGACTTCTAATTTACTTAATTGTAGTTCATAGATTTCAAATGTTGAGAGTTGAGACCTCGAAGTTTCGATTCAATTAAAATAATTATTCAATTATTAAGCGACTTTATTAAACGTTTTATCCTTGATATGAAGTAGATTCTGAAAAGGAAAAATGGCTTATTAGACAAGTTTACCATTTGACTGAATGGGATTAATGTTCATCCAATTTTATGAACTTTAAGATATGTAATTTGTGGGTTTTGGTTATTGGTGTTATTTTACCTTATCTAATTCTACTGCATGATAAAATATATGACACAGACATTTTGATTGCTGTACCAACCAATTTAATGGTGATTTTTGTTAAGCAAAATCCAAAAAGGTGAAATTAAACACACACACACATGGATATAACATCAGTGCTCCTTTAATCATTAGCAACACGCGAAGTCTAAGTAGGGGCGTACATGGACCAAGCTGATTCGATTTTTATCAAAATCAAATTAATTATATCGGTTTGGATTGGTCTGATTTTACTGGATTTTTCAGGTTTTTTTTTGTTACATGAATTTTATTTCAATATGATTTTGTTAAAGTTATAAATAAAGTTTTGACGAGTATGTTTAGTAAAACTTGAAGAAACTGACAAACATATGATCTATTAAAATATTCGTATGTAAAATTATTATTTAGTGATACATGATAGTTATTTTCTTAGTCGTCTAACAATAATTCTTATTTCGAATTCGAAAACGAAATAAGACTTTAATAGATTTTGACATATAAGTATGGAAGAACAAAGAGATTGACGTATTTCTATAATATCTGATTAGAAAGTGATGATACAATTTATTATCTAAAGTAAATAAAAATGAATGCACTTTATAGTGCTATGAAATATTACATTACAAGATAGAATTCCAAATATTTCTAGATATTTTTAAGGCAGAATAGCCTAGGAGACACTTGTACTTGTTCTGGTTTGTCGTCCCGGTCCCTACACGCCATAAAGTTTCATCAAGACACTTCAACTTAATCAAAACAAGACTTTTAAACACCTCTGGAATCGGGTGATGCTCACTTGCTTGACGTGGATGACAAATCAGCATCCACATCAAATTCTATACCAAAATAATATTATTTAACAAAATTTTAATTTCATAAGCAAAAAATAAAATAAAATAAGCAAAAAATTAAATTAAAATTAAAGAAAATCCCTCCTTCCTTCTTCAAACCCACCCACCCAACCTTCTTAAAATAATAACCCACGTGCCATGGTTCCTCCACCATGAGTACCACTACTTCCTTCACTTCCCTTTTAAAGAAAGTTATCTAGCCATGAAAAATATGGTAATTTCAACATAAACGGCGATATCATGTACATATTATGAGTTCTTTTAGTGAGTAATTTCTTTGTAAATAGTTTTAAAATTAAATAAACCAGGACCATCAATGCTTTAAGGTCCTGTGTTTCTTTATAGCGATAACAACCCGAGTTAATCACCAATTTACCCTTATTTGTTAGCATAAAATTGCACTAAATCCTTATGACTCGGCTTTTGAAAATTAGAATGCTATTAAGTTGGTGCTTATAAGAACAGTAGCAACAACAAGAGCGATTGAATGAACTGAGCAGAATTATATNGTACGGGGGGGACGGGGGGGGGGGGGGAACGGAGGACTGAAGAAGAAGAGGGGGAGGGGGGGGGAGCGAAGGGCTGAAGGGGGGCAGTGCGAAGGGCTGAAGGGGGGCGGAGCGAAGGGCTGGAAGGGGGGGGGGGGCATGCAGGAGGGGAGGGGGCAGAACAAAAGGGAATCGCTGCTAGTATTTTATTTATTTATATATTAGTTTTTATTTTTTTAATAAAGAAAAATCATCAGCTCACGCACCTAATCTGCGTGTAAATCATCCATTTTGTCCACCTCAGCCATATCAATGCCACATAAGCTTGGTCAACGGTCAGAAGGGTTTAAAAGTCTTGTTTTGATAAAGTTGGAGTGTCTGGGTGATACTTTATGGAGTGTAGGAACCGGGATGACAAACCGAAACAAGTACAAGTGTCTCCCAGGCTATTATGCCTATTTTTAAAGCAAAATCTATATAAAATCTTAAAATATATAAAATGATAGATTTATATGTCGGTTTGATAGAGTTATACACAAAGGCAAGATTTTTATTCATACTAGGTATAACAACAACAACAACAATGACCAAGTAAAATTCCTCAAGTAGGGTCTGGGAGGGTAGTGCGTACGCTGACCTTACCCCTACCCCAAAGAGCAGAGAGGCTGTTTTCGAAAGACCTTCGGCTCAAGAAGACGAAAAAGACGAGAAGAGAGGGAAGGGACAACATATTAGTACCATCATACAGAAACCAAAGAAATAATAACATCATAAGAATAAGAAAACAGTTGAAATGCAATAACAAAACCAGAAAATAAGCGCCGATTGTGATGACCCGATAGGTCATCTCATATTT